GACTTCCGCTGCTTCGTCGTTTTTGCTGCTCCTGCCGTGCGGTGGGGAGAGACCCGCCAGAACGACCGAGTTTTCAGCCCGTGCGAGACTCTAGACCCTTCAGCCGTCGAATATTCACACGGTACCCCCAGAGTGCCATCGTGAGCGACACGATAGACTTCAGCCCCATCGGGTGCAGCACGACGGACCCTACACCATCGTGGACAGCCAGACGGACTCCAGCATCAAAGTCGTGGGCGGCACGGACTTCAGCAGCACCTCCAAGAGCAGCACGGACTCCAGCAGCACCAGCGTGAGCAGCAGGACGGACTCCAGTAGCACCACCCGGGGCAACACGACGGACTCCAGCAGCACCGGCGTGAGCAGCACGCAAGCAGCTCAAGGCACCCCAGCACCATCGTGGCCAACACGACGGACTCCAGCAGCACCATCCTGGGCAGTACGACATACTCCAGCAGCACGGACTCCAGCAGCACCACCATGAGGAGTGCGGTCTCCAGCAGCACCGCCGTAAGCAGCATGCCAAGCTCCAGCATCACGACTGGGAGCAGCACGACGCCGGCGCAAGCCGTCCGTCACACCGACGGGCGCAAGCCGCCTGACACTCCAGCCGGCGCTAGCCGCTCGTCACTCCAGCGAGGGCGCGCCGCCCGGTCACACTGGCCGGCACGAGCGGCCCGTCACACCCACCGGTGCGAGCCAGCAGTCACGCTGGCCGACGTGGGCCGCTTGTCACACCCACCAGCGCCAGCCTCCCGTCAAGCCGGCTGGCGCGCACCGCGCGTCATATTCAGCTGGCACGAGCCTCCCGTGACGCTGGCCGATGCGAGCGACGTCAGCAGCGGCGACACGAGGAGGTGGCACCAGCCGTCGCCGTTGGCAGCGACAGCAGCACCACCGTGAACCGTACGACGGACCTCCGAGCTGGTGATCATTATGTTACCGCCTCTAGGTCCATGTTTTGCAGTGCTGGTGATCATGTTCAGTGCCCCTGTGCAGGGCATTGTGCAGGATTGGTGGTACTCAGGTCTCGGAGCCAGCGGTGACATCATGGTGACCTTTATGCTACTGCCCTTGAGCAGGCCTCGTTCTGGAATGGTGGTGATCACTCCTATTACCCCTGAGCAGGGTCTTGTTCTGGATTAGCGCTCATTTTGTTATCCCCTGCACAGGGCCTTGTTTTTGAAATGGTGGTGATCAGTTTTGCTGCCCCTGTGCAGGACCTTGTTTTGAATCGGTAGTGCTCAGTTTACGGCTCCAGCTGTGGCGTCAGGGTGATCTGTATGCCATTTCCAATTTCCCTTGAGCCAGGCCTTGGTATGGAATGGTGATGATCATTCGTAAGGCCCCTGAGCAGGGCCCTTTTCTGGATTGGTGCTCTGCCTGTTAGCCCCTGGGCAGGGCCTTGTACTGAAATTGTGTTGCGATGTTTGGCCGATGGTTATGAACAGTTTGTTCTTGCCCTTGCGCATGGCCCTGTCCTGGAACTCTGCTCTTCCCAATATTGGATGTGCCGGCCGACCCGCGATTCAAAGCCGATGGTTGTGACCAGTATGGCAGTGCTTGGGGAGGACCTTTCCCGGCATGGTGGTGATCAGAATGTTACTGCCCCTGAGTTTGCTTGGCCTCGCTCTGGCATGATGGCGGTCAGACGGTTGTTGCCTTCTGACTGGGCCTTGCCCTTGAATGGTGGTGCTCAGCAGCTGCCTCTTCCCCCGCTCCGCCAGAGTCCGGGGCCATCCCACGTCTTCGGAGGCCTGCGCAGTGCGGAGAAGGTGTACCGCACCATCCGTCGCCGGAAGCGCCGGCGCGCCACTCCACGATGCCATGCGGGGCGTGTTTTTGTTGGCAGCCACGCTGCCCAGTCACGCCTCCTGGCGTTCGCCTGGCAGCGAACGCCCGGATCGCTACAGTGCGCTGCAGTCAGCACCGCGTTGCCCCAGGGCGTTCGACACGTGCGCGCCCTCGCCCCCCGTTTCTTTTGCAACCCCTCGCCGCCGGGCCCCCCGCAGTGCGTGCTCGTGCTGTGTCGCGCAGCGCGGGGTGCTATATGCAGTTGCACTTCTGCGGCTGCCGCGCGCCTCTGTCCTGCAAGCGTGGCCGAAGCTGCAGGCCTGCGCTGGCAAGTAGGGCTGCACTTTTGAACACTTTAGCTCGCGCCGACGCCCCTGGAGTCTAAACTGTGTAATCTGACCCGGGGCGGAACAGCCGGCAGTTCGGCTTGTGGCCTGCATTCGCGCTTCTCCCGCCCCCCTCCCTCTTCCTCCTTCCCCTCCCTCCCCATCTGGGAGGCCTCTCTGGTGAGGGCGTGATGCTGCACCCGGCCGCGGGGCACTCTGCGCATGCAGGCCGCCTGATCCGCTGGAGGTCCGGTCGTGCGGCGTCGGCTGGCGTTCTCCACTCTCCTCCTCCTCATCCTGCCTCCCCGGGGGGCATTTGCTCTGTCTGTTCTGCTGCTGCCCGCGCGCACGAGCTGGGCACCTCCAGCCGGGCGGGCCGCCGTTGCTTAGCGAGCCTCCGGCGCTCGCCGGCCGGAGCTGCTTCTGAAGTGGATTACACGCGGTATGTTTGTTGTGTCCTCCGTCCCGCCCCCTCCCTGCTGCCTCCTCCCTGCTTTCCCCTCCCATGCATCCTCCCGCCGCTGCTCTGCGGCAGCCGCCCGAATACCCCAGGGCGCCCGAACGTTGGCCAGTGGAACTGCGGCCGCGTTCGCGGGACCGCCTGCCTTGCTTTGGGCGCTTGGCGTTTGTCCGCCCGCCTTCCCGCTTCTCATCATCCCCCGCCCTTCTCTGTCTCTTGCGGATGCCAGAGCGTCGTGCAGTCTTGCGCTGGTGTCCTTTCTTGTGGTCAGCAGTACTTTGCGTGGTCCTTTCGTAGTGTCCTGCGCTGGTGTCCTTTCCGTGTACTCGGCGTGGTGGCTGTAGGGCACTCCATGGCTGCCAGTTGCCGCCGCAGCGCGCTCAGTTCTTGTGCTTGCCTCCTGTCCCTCCTCGTCCCCCTTGCGTGGGCTTGTGATGCTCGTGCTACAGTAGCGTGGAAGCGGACGTTGGGCACGTCACTTTTGTGCGCTTCATGTTGGAGGTCAGCCGCAGGTGGAGCCCTTTGCGGCGTTGCTATAAAATCCCGCGGTGTCCCCAGCTTGCATCTGCGCCCCTCCTCCTCCCCCCACGCGCTTGTCGCCCAGGCTGTCCTCTGCCTTGCTTCTGGTGTAGGAGGGGCGAGGAGAGGAGAGGGGGTCGAGGGGGAGAGTAGGCAAGCATGCGGGTGGGGAAAAGTAGGAGCGGTATTCTTGTGTTTTGGGTGTACTTCTGGAGCGCTCCTGGAAGTCTCCAGAGGCTTCCACGGACCTCCGAGCACCTCCAGCGACCTCCCGAAGCTTCGGGAGACCTCTAGAGGCCTCCGAAGACCTCTTTGGAGGCGGGAACGGCCGATTCCGGACACAGCAGACGAAGGGAATCGATCGACGGATCCTTTCAAATGCGCTTGTCTCCTTGGTGGTGTGGGGGGCACTCCAAGGTCGAAACAGATGCAAGGATTGAGCACAGGTAACGCTTTCGACATGGTACTCTCGCTTCAGTACCGCGCACCTTTCTTTTAACGGCTTCCCACAGCTTCAGGGATGAAGCACCATTCCTTTCAAAAGCTTGCCACAGCTGCAAGGATGGAGGGCGGTCTCTTGTCAAAATGAGGTTTTCGCCCTAGCGCCGAGCATATCGTCTGAAACGCGTGCAGCAATTGCAAGGATGGAGGGTGAACGGAGCTCGTACGAGACGTCCTGACGTTTCCAGGCCAGCAACGTCTACATACGTAGCAACTGCACGATGGGCTCTGTTTCAACTTGGGGTTCTCTATTAAGACGTCCCCGGTGTTCATTGCCAGTCGTGGTGCGAACTTGCGCAAGAGTTACACATGTGGGCCGCTCGTTTCCAGTATGGGGATCATGCTCGGCACCTCGTTGATCTGCCTGATAGGTTGTCGTATTCTTGATTGCGCGTTGGAGGGATGCAGGGCAGGTCCTGTTCCAAACGATGCCTGAAAGGGTGGCACATCGGGTGCCATTATTTCAATGGGGCGCTTCTTGTAGTGGACGACGGCGTGCAGGGGCTTATGAGGAGGAGACTTGGGACGAGAGGGTGTCTTGCAGCATCGATGAGGCATCGTGGGTTTGCTCTGGTCCTCCTCCCCCTCCTCATCATCATCCTTATCCTTTACTTCTCCCCCTCCTCGTCCACGTCGTCGTCCCCTTCCTTCTGCACATCCTCTTTGCGCCCTCCTTATCCGTTAACGCCTCCTCCCCCTTCCCCCGTCCTCATCGTCTTCTTCATCATCCTTCTCTTTGGGGACGCTCCATCTCATCTTGCCACCTCCTTCAATCTAATCCGTATCCTCCTTTCCGCCCCCTCTTGTTCCCGGTGTCCTTGACCTCGTCGTCGTCTCCCCCGTTGCCGTCCTCATCGTCGCCGCCGTCGTCGTCACCGTCGTCGTCGTACTCCTCCTCCTCCTCCTCCTCCTTCTCCTCCTCCTCCCCATCCTCATCCTCATCCTCGTCCCCAGCTCGTCCCCCTCCTCCTCCTCCTCCTCCTCCTCCTCCTCCTCCTCCTCCTGCTCCTCCTCCTCCTCCTGCTCCTGCTCCCCCTCCTGCTCCTGCTCCCCCTCCTTCTCCTCCTCCTCCTCCTCCTTCTCCTCCTCCTCCTGCTCCTCCTCCTTCTCCTTCTCCTCCTCCTCCTCCTTTTTCATCCTTCTCCTCATCCACTCACTCTTCGGTTGTTCAGAGCGATGGCCCTGGCCGCGTCCCTGGCCATCGTCGCCGCCCTCCGCTGGAGAGCGTTCGGGTTCCACGGCTCCGTCGGCCTGACGGTCCTCTTGGGAGGACCTCTCCGGGAGGAGGAGGAGAGAATGGGGGAGGAGGAGGCAAGAGCAAGAGGAGAAGGAACATGAGAGAGTCGCAGATTAGGAGGAGAAGGAGGAGGAGGAGGAGGAGGAGGAGCAAGGAAGAGCAGTGGGAGGAGGCTGGCTGGCTGGCTACTCAGCAGATGGCCAAGGTTCAAGATCAGAAGCATGACTGCGACCGCAGGGCTCGTGTGAGGCAATCTGCTCAACAAAACGTTTTCAAAAGACTCGAGGGAAACTCTCGAAGCCGTGACCGATGTGGATGTCTCGGGCTACGCCGGTGTCGACGAGGCCGAGGTCTTCCAGCAGCTTACGGCTCACCTCTCCAGGGTGGAAGGCCTCCAACTCACCGAGGCCGCCGCGAAGACCGTGCACTGGCTGGCCACAACGGACCCTCGAGCTCCTCCGCGGCGGGCCTGCCTGACTTGCAGTACGTGGCCGACGTTCACGAGGTGCGGGAGGCGTTGCACGGCAAGGCCGCCCGAGTGGGCACGGACCTCGTGGGCATCCAGGTCTCCAACGAGTTGGCCGACGCGCAGAGTTTTGTTCGCAGGCCCGGGAAGCAGGGCGGGGGGGTTGCGGCGCGCCAGCCAGCCCCCCGTGCCCTAGATGCGACTCTCGGCTCCCCCTGCGGGAGCTTCCTGGAAGTTCTCGCGCTCGGGATGCGTGCTCTTCCTCCGCGGAGGACGGTCCACAGCCTGCCGCTGCCGCCGGCGACTACGATGCTCTCCATGACCTTCCCCCACGACTTCCACCACTCGTTCTCCAACCGACTGCCAAGGATCGGGATGGGAAAAAACACACAGACACAATTGATCGTCGACTCCCCCGAAAAAATGGGAACAACAATTGGGAAGTGGGGGGGGAAGACGAAAACTCACAAAATATAGAAGAATATGCGGAATCCTGCTATTTGTGTGTGTGTGTGTGTGTGTGTGTGTTTGCTTGTGTGTCCTTGGGCCCCTTCAGCCAAGGAGCGCGCGCTTCCTCAACATGCCCAGGTTGACGTGCCGAGAGTGGCGGGTGGAAGGGCCCGTCGGCGGCGGCGGTGCGGGCGCGGCGATTTCAGGCGCGCGGGCTCCTGCGAGGCGAGCCGCGCGGGCGGACCGGGATGGAGCGGGGGGGAGGAGGACGGGGGGGGGGACGAGGGGGGGACGAGGAGGGAGGGCGGACGAGGACGAGGCGGGGGACGAGGAGGTAGGGAGGGAGGACGAGGAGGGAGGGAGGACGAGGGGGGGGACGAGGGGGGACGGGGATGCGAGGGGGCGGACGGGGAGAACCAGGAGGGAGGGGAAGAGGGCGGGGGAGACCTGGGAGGAGGGCGGGGAGCGGGCGGCGGGCGCCTCTTCTCTTCTGGGTCGCCGTGCTGCAGTGCCTCGTCGTCGTCGGCGCGATGGCGCACCGTGGGTGCGGCGGTGAGGGGGAAGAGGAGGGAGAGGAGGGAGAAGAAGAGGAGGAGGAGGAGGAGGAGGAGGAGGAGGGGAGGGGGGGGAGGAGGAGGAGGGGAGGAGGAGGAGGAGGAGAGGAGGAGGAGGAGGAGGAGGAGGAGGAGGAGGAGGAGGAGGAGGAGGGGAGGAGGAGGAGGAGGAGGTGGGGTCGGGGGGGGGGGGGGGGGGGCAGGCGCGGAGCCCTTCGGACCGCAGGAGAAGGAGGATCAGCATTGCGGAGCAGCGCGGGTGGTTGGCAGCGGGGCCTCCCGCGCCAGCCGGCAGGAGCCCTCGGCAACCTCTTCGACCGCGTTGTCTACGGCCACGTCGTCGACTTCGTGCTGCTGCACGCGGGGGGCTGGACCTGGTCACCTCCCGCCGCTGCCGCCGCCGCTGCGCGCACCCGTCGCCGTCTCCGCAAGGAGGAGTATGAGGACGAGCAGGAGGAGGTGGTGGAGCAGGAGGAGGAGGAAGAGGAGGTCTTGCGGCAGGTGGAATCTGAGGAGGAGGAGATGTTACGGCGGTTGGCGGGTTAGCATGATGAGGACGACCATGAGGAGGAACATGAGGATGGTCACGCGGCTTTTGAGGATGTGGGCGAGGAGGATACGGATGGAGAGCTTGAGGGTGAAGAACGTATGGCGCATGACGATGATTATGCGGATGAGGGCGAGCAGGATGGAGAACGAGGACGATGAGTTTGGGCTGAGGCCGCGCCCTTGTGGCGGAAGCGGCAGAGAGGGCACATGTCCGCTGCTCAGTCGTATCGGGAGGAGGGAGAACGGAGGAAAGCTGTGGGGAGAATTCCACACGTCCTTGCATTATGGGTGTCGTCTTGAGCTGTCGAAGGCCTAGGGCGGGGGGGGTATCCGGAGATCAGCGCCGATCGGTTGCCGCCCCCCCAGGGGGCCAGAGACCTCCCAGGACGGACCAGCACGAAGGGGACGGCCACACAGGAGGAACGACCATCCAGAGCCGCGAAGGCGACTGCGCGTCGCACCTCGTGGCCTGGGCCGGAGGGTCACTGCTATTTGCTGTTCCTGTTGTCGAAGACGGCGCGAAGGACGACCACACGGGAGGAACGACCTCCCCAGAGCCGCGAAGGGGACTGCGCGTCGCACCATGTGGCCTGGGCCGGAGGGTCACTGCTATTTGTTTTGTTGCTCCTGTCGTCGGAGACGCCTGTGGCGAATCACCGCCGCCCCCTGTCTTCTTGGAGGCGCCCATGTGGCCGAAAGTGGGGCTAGATTAGTGGACCACATCTTCCCCAGCTGTCGTTGAAACCTTGCGGGGGATAAGTGAGGAAGAGGAGGATGAGAAGCAGAAGGAAAAGAGAGTAGTAGGAGGAGGAGGAGGACGACCAGTACAAACCCAAGGCTCATCAACGATGTTGGAATACACCCTTCCTCAGCTCCCTCTTCATAGGCCCCTACAACGGTTCATTTGCATTGAGGGAATTTCCTTGTTGGGAAACAACCGTTTGAAGATCCTGAAGCATGCCAATACACCATTCCCCAGATTCCAACGCCACGGATCATTTTGACCGTTGCGTCTTGACGATCCTGCATTTTCCCAGAACCCATTCCCAGGGCATCAACACCGCAAATCAAGGTAATCGATGCACCCTCTCAATTCTGAGCCCTTCCAAACACAATTTCTGGTACGTTGGCCATGAGAACCCCTTGTTATAATTTTTGCTCAGGCAAATGTGCGCGGCGCTTGTGCGAGAGCCACGTTTTGAAAACCACCCATCCTCAACCTTAGACACTCAAACGTTTTAAAAACGAATGCGCGCAGCGCTAAGGCGAGACCCATTGTTTGAATACCACCCGCCCGCAATATGTGAAACTCCTGCATTTGTTGCAAACGAATGTGCGCGGCGCGCCGGCGAGAACCACATTTTGAAAACCACGCCCCCTCGATGTGTGCAACGTTTGCAAGCCTTGAAAAAGAATGTGCGCGGTTCTCAGGCGAGAGCTGCATTTTGAAAACGGCCCGCCCTCAATCTGCGAAGCTCTTGCAAATGTGTCAGACGAGTGTGCGCGGCGTCACGGCGAGAGCCACATTTTGAAAACCACCCGCCCTCAATCCGCACAACTCTTTGCAATTGTGTCAAGCGAGTGTGCGCGGCGCTACGGCGAGAGCCACATGTTGAAAACCATCAGCGCTCCATTTGTGAAGCTGTTGCCAATGTTCAAGCTTCACGGTCGCAAATGATGAGGAAGTCTCAGGCGAAACGCCCCGCCCGCCCTTTCGACCGTCCTCTGGGTGCGGCAGGAGGGGTTTGTTTAGACAGAAAAGGAATGGAGGAGAAGGAGAAGAGTGGAAAACGCCTTTTGAAAACCTTTTGGGCATTTGGGGTCTCCTGGAAGCTTCCTGGGGACCTCGTGGGGGCCTCTTGGGGGCCTCCTTGGGCCTTTTGGGAGCTTTTGGTGGCTTGTTCGGGGCCGATGTGGCAGCCTTGGTGCGTTCCTGGCTCGTCTGACGCCGTCTGAAGCCGTCTTGGATGTCTCTCTGAACCGATTTTGGCGCTCTTGGGGCGCTTTAGGGCCGTCTTGGAGGCCATCTTGGGCGTCTTGGAAGCCTCTTGGGCCGTCTGGGGCCCTCTTTGGGTCGTCTTGGAGGCCTCTTGGGCCGTCCTGGGGCCGTCTTGGAGGCTTCTGGGGCCATCTTGGGGCGATCTTGGGGGCCTCTTGGGTCGTCTTGGGCTGTCGGAGAAGACCAGAAACCTAGCAAAACCAATGATTTTGGTATCTTCGGGCCCTCCTGGGAACCTCTTGGGAGCCTCTTGGGAGCCTCTTGGGCCGTATTGGACCCTTCTTGGGCAGATTTGGAGGCGTCTTGGACCTCTTGGGCCGTCTTGGAGGCCATCTTCGACACTCTTGGGCCGTCTTGGAGACCAGCTTGGTCGAACTTCGAGGACTTTTGGGGCTGTCGTGGAGGCTTTTTGGGTCGTCGTGAGGTCAGAGGCCTTTGGGGCCATCTTGGGGCGATCTTGGAGGCCTCTTGGGCCGTCTTGAGCTGCCGGAAGACAGAAAATAAGCAAATGCCAACATCCTTCACACATCTAAGGAGAACCAGTTTTGGTTGGCCTCTTCTGGCCCTGCCGGAAAGGCCACTTGAGCCGTCATGGAGGCATCTTGGGGGGGGGCCTCTTGCAGTCATCTTGGGCCGTGTGGGTGACTTCTTGGGCGGACTTGTAGGCGTCTGGGGCCCTCTTGGACCGTCTTGGAGGCCATCTTGGACCATCTTGGGAAAACTTGGAGGCCATCTTGGCTGTCTTGGTGGCAATTGAGGCCGTCTTGGAGACGTTGGTTGCGCAGCGGCGGGGCCGTCCGGGTGGCCGGCGGCATGGACCGAAACCCAATGGGGAGTTCGTTCAGAAAAGAACCAAAACCAAGCCGTAGGATCCAGCACGCCAGGCACCCTTGTGATAAATCAACAGGGGGCGGCGGATCGAAGACGCCTACGGCGAATCACCGCCGCCCCCTGCCTTTTTGGAAACGCCGATGTGGCCGAAAGTTGGACTAGAGCTTGGCCAAGCTATCGGACCATGAGTTCCCCGAGTCGGTTTGGAAAGCTTTCGGGGAACACATGGGAGAGAATGATTATGAACAGGAAGAGGAAGAGGAAGAAATAGAGTAGGAGGATGAGGGTTGTTAGGAGTCTCTTGGGGCACCCTTGGGGTCTGTTGGGGGCTTCTTGGGGGCCTCTTCGAGGCCTCTTGGAGGCATCTTGGGGGCCTCCTTGGGCCTCTTGGGGGCCTTTGGGGGCTTCCTGGGGGTCTCTTTGGCCGTCTTAGGGCGTTCCTGGTCCGTCTGACGCCGTCTGGAGCCGTCTTGGGGGCCTCTCTGGGCCGTCTTGGGGCCCTCTTGGGGCGCTTCAGGGCCGTCTTGGAGGCCATGTTGGGCGTCTTGGAGGCCTCTTGGGCCGTCTTGGGGCGCTCTTGGGGCCGTCTTGGGGGGCCCTTGGGCCGTCATAGGGCCTTCTTGGAGGCCTCTTGGGCGATCTTGGGGGCCTCTTGGGCCGTCGGAAGGCCGAAAAGAAGAAAACGCAAAAAACCTTCAAAAACCTAAGGAAAACCAATGATTTTGGCCTCTTCGGGCTCTCCTGGAGAACGTCTTGGAGGCCTCTTGGGCCATCTTGGAGGCATCTTGGGGCCATCTTGGCCGTCTTGGAGGGCATCTTGGGCCGTCTTGGAGGCATCTTGGAGCCATCTTACCCGTCTTGGAGGCCATCTTGGCCGTCTGGGAGGCATCTTGGAGGCCATCTTGGGCCATCTTGGCCGTCTTGGAGGCCATCTTGGGCCAAGTTGGGGCAACAAAGGCATTGACAGACGGATTTTGGGAAAATTACGGGTGGCCGGCGGGACGGGCCGAAGCCCAAGGGGGGAGTTCTTTTAGAAAAAGAACCAAAACCCAAATCTGAATCGTCCAGCACGCCGTGCACCCCTGCAAGCAGGGGGCGGCGGATCTTATGACCCTCGGCCAATCCTGCCACCGTGCCTGGGCTTTGGGAATGGATGGAGCCTATTGGATATTCGTTGGGATCTCGTGGGAGGCCTCACGGGCCTCTTGGAGTAAGTTTTGAGGCCTCTTTGGGGCCGTTTTGGGTCCTCGTGGGGCTTCTTTGGGGCATCTTGGGGGCCTCTTGGGGGCCTCTCTGTTGGGGCCGTCTTGAGGCCCTCTTGAACCGTCTTGGGCGCCTCTTGGGCCGTCTTGGGGCGCTCTTAGGCCGTCTTGGGGCCCTCTTGGAGGCCGCTGGGGCCGTCTTGAGGTGGTCTTGGGGGCCCTCTGGGCCGTCTTGGAGCATCGGAAAGCCGAAAAGGCGAGAACGCCAGAATCTTTCAACAACCTTGAGCAAATTACTGATTTTGTCTCTCGGGGCCCTCTGGGGATGCCTTTTGAAGGCATCGTGGGGCGTCTTGGAGGCCTCTTGGGCCATCTTGGAGCCGTGTTGAGCGTCTTGGAACGATCGTTCGGCAACTCGTAGTTCGCCCTCTTGGACCGTCTTGGGGGCCTCTTGGGAGCTGTCGTGGCCCGTCTGCGGGGCCCTCTTGGGTCCGATAAACATCACGCGAGAAGCGGCGGGGAGCGGCGCCGAGCCCCGAGAGATTTGGCAATGTGGGGCCCGGGCCTTTCAACAACCCTTCAGGAGTGGGGATTCTGGCCTAGAGGAGGAGGGAATGATGGGCCTGTTTTCCACCACCACCACCACCACCATAAGTTGGAGGGGGGAAGGAGGTAGAGGAGGAGGAGGAGGAGGAGGAGGAGGAGGAGGAGGAGGAGTAGGAGGACCCCCTCGCCCTCCTACTCACGTTGGGAACCCCCAAACCGGGTGGTGAGATACCAGGTGGCGACCTGGAATCCCCAAAAAGGTCACCGCTGGGTTTGGGGACGCGGGGTCACCACCGGGTTTTGTGACTCCTGGACCCGCCAGTGTCCGGGACATCCTCGGAAAACCGCACGAGTCCCCAAACCGGGTGGTGACACCAAATCGCCCGAGACTCACCGCCAGGTGTTGTCACCACCACGTTTGGGGACTACCAATCATGGTGGTGGCGGTGGGAAACAAGCCCATCAGGGAAAGGACCTGAGGGCACGCCCACTCCGTACCCAGAGGCGCGGTGGCGGAGTATCCGCACGGGCTTCGCCCCCTGCCGCCAGCCCCCTCTCTCCATCAGAATAGGATATAACAGAGTCGCGTCGGTGCGACTCGGCGCTGCCGTGGCGCCCCTGGGAACAGCATGCGGGGGCGGATCGGAATCATCAGCGCATATTGACATGTTGGCGTTAGTGGCCTTCGGCCCATCCCGCCACCGTGCCTGGGTTGTGGGTCTGAGGCCTCTTGTATATGGGTTGGTGTCGTGGGGAGCCTCTCGGGGGCCTCTCGGATGCGGTTTGGGCGCCTCTTGGGGGCCTCTTGGGGCCCGGTGGGGTATCTTTGAGGCTTCTTGGAGGCCTCTTGGGCGCTTCTTGGGCGCCTCTTGGGGCCTCTAAAAGAGATCGTGGCCTCGGGGGCGCGGACGAGGGCGGCATGTTACAACGCATCATTGCAAAGCAGTCGGTGTCAAGAGCTCTGGGGCCAGAGGGAGTTGGCGCATAGAGCCAGAGGATTCGACAGCTCCAGGGAGTCTCCATCGATAGGCCGGTCCCTCATGCCCTCATGTTTTTTTTGCGGCCCGCTCGGCGCCCCCGCCCGTCGTGACATAGCGTGGTCTAGGCTTGGCACCAAATAATTTCTTTCGTTCAGCACAGCACAGCAGTTCAGAGCAGCGTACTGAACGGTCCATCACACAAAAGCACACCGTAGCACACAGCACAGAGCACATCGCAGCACAGAATTTCGTTCGCGAGGAATCGGTGCCCAGAAGACGTGAGGAGCTGGCCCTCTCAGGGACCATGCCTGATAGCGCTCCTCCTCACAGAAAGCCGTGCAGGAACCTGGTAGGCGAGAGCCTCTTCGGGGAAAACTGGCGCTGCGCTGTCGAGGTACGTACAGTGCCGTTTTTGATACATGCTCCGCGTGCGGATCATGCATTAAAAATAAAGGGAATTAGTATTAAAAGCAACGATGAGTTCATGCAGAACCCGCCCCCCCACCCCCACCCTTCGGCCAAAGGTCGGAATTCATTTATATTTCAAAAATGAGAGACTTTATGTATACATCTATGTATATATATATATATATATATATATATATATTACAAAAACACCAAAAACGTATGTTTAATAAGAAAAAGGCTACGTGGGGATGCCGGCGTTTCGGGAGAGCGCGCCGCTGTCAGCCAGATCGGGGGCCCGAGGTGCGGCCCCTCCAGGTGACCCTCGGCGGCTCCCCGCCGCGCCCTCGCCTCCTTGCTTGCAGCGCTCCGACGTCGAGAGCTCACCCCATCGGTCGCTGAAAGTAGGCATTTCTGGATGTCCATGTTCCAGTCTGCCTGCACCGCCTTGCTACTTCAAGAGTCGAGTGCTTCCCCCTCTTCCCTCCTCGACAGGAGGCGGGCGGAAACCCAATCTACTTCCAACGCTTACCTACTTCATGTTTCTACCTCCTTCTTCCGACCGATGGGTACTGTCTGTGCCCGCGCGCGCAGGTGCCACCCGCCCGCAGTCGGGCGATCCAACACATGGATCAAGGGGGGGCGTGGATCAGTGACGGGCCCCGCTTCCGTGGGAGATCGCGGACTTCCGCCCCTCAGCGAGGCGGCACCGGCGCCGCATTTTGGGGAGGGCCCCCCCCGATCCATGGATTTGGCCACCGCGCGCCAAGTGCACGGGTCGCTAATGCATGTTTGCGCGCCCTTGGCGTAGATGATCGGCAGCAGGTTGGACGCCCAGGTGATCTGGGGTAACTCCTTGCTTGCCTCCAGGGAGCCCTGGGTTTCTTGGGTTTCGACGGCTCCGCCTAGGACAGTGCGACGCTCCCACGCCAGAAAATCCAGGGACGTCCCAGGGTCTCAGGGTTTTGGATTTCTTGTGGAAGGTTTCTTGTGGACTGGCCCCCACTGGATGCCCGGGCGCAGATGCAGCCCGCCCGCGCACGCCGACTGTCTGCCCGTAGCTGAGCGGCAGCAGTGTTGGACGCCCGAATCATCTGGGATGACTGCGGTCAGGGCTATCGGGCCCCCGAGGCACGAACCCATAGCTCCCCGTGACTGCACCCAGCCCTGAGGATTCGGGAAGAGTAGACGGTCGAATTCTCTGGGATAGCTGCGGTCCAGGGCTTCTCCGGTCTGGAACCCCGGGGCGCGAATCTGCAGCTACCTTTGACTGACCCCAGCCCTTATTACTCGGGGCTCCGACAGGGCTCGTGAGTCCGAGAATGCCGCGTCGATGTGGGGATGTGATCGCGCAGCAGTGTCACCTCTGAAGTTCGTGTGATCCGATCGCATCTAGCTGGCGGCAGCACTATCTGCCGTTCTGCCATTCCTCCCGTCCGCCTAAATCCAGTCCAGGTGCACAGCTCACTTATCGGTTTGGACAACTCCTGGGAGGTCAAATGCAGCAGTGGCGCTGGTGGATCCGTCACCGAAAACCCGCATGATCTGGCGTGAAACTGTTCAAACGGCTTACTCCTGTGCACCCTGGTTGAATCCAGCTGAATCCTGAGCTAAGCCTGGGCTGATCTGGCCCAATTGTCTCTTGATCGGGCCCATAGCAGCCTGTACTCGTCCTTACGGAGACTTCCAGGAGCCGCCTCCTATTCTGGCTCATGTTTTGGAGGTCTGGTGACCACGCGTCGGCACCGCCTGGGCCATGGAGAGCAGGGGAGGAGGGGTGTGTGTGGGTTTGAGAGAGAGAGAGGTTCGCGGGCGCGGCGCGGCAGGGAAGAAAACCAGAACCCCACGAAACATGTGGGGGCAAAAGGTTCGCCTCCGCCGCATGCCGCTGGGGGGGGGGGCCACCGGTCTGCCTCCGCCGCTCGCCGCGCCTGGGCCACGGGCTTGCGTCCCCAGGCCAGCCTTCAACGTCGCGGACGTGGCCATCAATGCGGGCGTGATCCTGTTCGCCGCACGCCCAGCGGGCGGGCCGCGCGCGCCATCAGATGGGCCTCTGGGCCGTGGATGCCAAGGAGGAGGATCGGGGGCGACCACGAGGGGGGGGGGGAATAAGGGGGGGGGTATCATGGCTGGGGCCACGATATCGCCCTCGACTTCACGGCCCCCTCGTCTTCTTCTTTCAATGCTGTCCGTGCCCCCCCCCCTCGTCCGCGCTCAATGCGCTCCTGGACGCCTCAAGAAGAGCAGGAAAAGGCGACGGTGATGCGGCGGAGGGGGAGGAGGACGCCTACCCAGAGACTCAGTGAGCTTCTCCCCCCCCCGCACCTTCAGTCGACCAGTCGTCGCCAACTTTTTCCCCGCCACCTGCAGCGCTCCCCACACACACACACACACACACACACACACACACACACACACACACACACACACACACACACACACACACACACACACACACACACACACACACACACACACACACAGCGGCGAAGACCGCTGGGGGGGGAGGGCATCGCCTCGAGGAAGTGCCACCGCCCGCAGCAGTGCCGTTCAGGAGGAGGAGGAGGAGGAGGAGGAGGAGGAGGAGGAGGAGGAGGAGGAGGAGGAGGAGGAGGAGGAGGAGGGGACGTTGGGAGGCGAAGCAGGCGGAGAAATCTCCCTGCTGCGCCCCCACCTCCCCGCAGGGCTCTTAGCCGTGGGAAGGTGGCAGGGCAGGCTTGCACGGCGACAGCCACCGTCTCGAACAGCCGTGAGCAGCAGCAGGGGGAGGAGCGGCCGCCTCTCGGGGGGGCACCCGCCCCGACCGGCCCCCAGAGGGTGCGGGGGGGGGGTCCTCTGGAGGGCGGGCGGCCAGGCGCGTCGCCCTGCCGTGGGTGCCTGCGAGCCTTTCGGGCGGGTGGTATTTGGGGGGTGTACCAGATGGGAGGGGGGTAGAGCAAGAACCCTTACAGGAGCCCTTCAGGGCTCCTTTTGGGCACCAGCTGGCTCCAGAGCCCTCTTTTTCACCCCCCAGTTGGGCCACTCCCCATTACCACCTGCCCGAATCCTGTGGGGTGGGGTGGGGGGGGGAAGGGGGGGACGTCGGGGACCTCCCTTCCTCCCGGCCATTTGCGCCCGACCTCCCCAGGGCCCTTCCCGGCAGGTTTCCAGAGCGGCGCCCAGCCGTTGCCAGGATGTGTTTGGGGAACGCTGAGGAGGCCAGCTCACCGCCGTGGACGACAACGAGCGGAGCTGGCCAAGATTACGGCAACTTGATAAACGACGGCGCCAAGGAGCCAGTGGAGTTCAACTCGAACCACCTGGATTCCTGAGTGGTGGCTGTCGCCTGCGCCGCTGTCCAGTCTGCAGAACGCTAGCAACATTTTGAAACAGATGGTTCCAAGAAGCGGCAGAGGATGCCGAAGGATGCATCAGAGCCGAATCGAGCACAAGGGGAAGAAGGAGTAGGCGCGGCGGGGGGAGCAGGAAACTGCGGGCAGCGGAGCACGCTCAGACCGTGCAGGTCTCGTACGTGTGCGTCGGAGGAGAAGGCTCAAACATGTTCAAGCATGTTCAGACATGTTCAGACACGTCTGACAATCTGTAGCCTCGATCCTGCTGCACGCTCTCAGCGCTGCTCCCGCCTGTGCTTTCCACCGCTCCTCCAGCAGCACTGGTGCGTCCTGGGTGCTGCTGCCAAGCGGTACATGCATCCACGCCCCCGCTGACAAACAAATAGTTCCGGTCCCAGGCCCATGACAGGCCCCTGATGGTCTGTGGAGGTTTCTGAAGGCCCTGGAGATTCCAGGGAGGTATCTGGAGGTCACCAGAGGCTTCTGGGGGCATCGGGGGCCGCAAAACATTAGAAAGCATCAATGGGTGTCGACCTTCGATCGGTTTCCTCATCTTCATCGTCCTCAGCCACCTCCTCCTTATCCTCCCTCTTCCCTCGAACTCGCCGGATGCTGGCAGAGAAGGGGGGAGACAGTTCATTGCACGGCAGCAGTCGGAAGCGAGCCACGTTCTGCCAGGATATGGGAACAGGAGCAGGGGGGAATTTAGAGCAGCTGTGTAGACAGGGACAGAGAGGAGGAGGAGGAGGAGGAGGAGGAGGAGGAGGAGGAGGAGGAGGAGGGAGGAAGAGGGAGGAGGGGGAGGAGGAGGAGGAGGAGGAGGAGGAGGAGGAGGAGGAGGAGGAGGAGGAGAAGGAGGAGGGGGAGAAGGAGAGGAGGAGGAGAAGGAAGGGAGGGAGGGGGAGGAGAGGAGAGGAGGGAGGAGGAGAGGAGAGGAGGAGTGAGGAGGAGGAGCGGAGGAGCGAGGGAGAGCGAGGAGCGAGGAGCGAGAGGAGGAGGAAGAGGAGGAGAGGAGGAGGAGGAGGAGGAATGAGGCCGATGAAGGAAGAGGAGGAGAGGAGGAGGAGGAGAGGAAGGAAGGAGAGGAGGCGAGGAGGGAGGAGGAGAGAAGAGTGAGGAGGAGGACGAGGAGGAGACGAGGAGGAGGATGAGGAGGAGGAGGAGCGGGAGCGAGGAGAGAGGAGGAGGAGGAGGAGCAAGAGGCGCGATGAGGGGGATGATGATAGGAGGGGAGGAGGAAAAGGAGGAGAAGGAAAAGGAGGAGGAGGAGGAGGGAGTTGCGAGCAGGAGCGAGGAACGAGAAGGAGGAGGAGGAGGAGGAGGAGAGGAGGGAGGAGAGAAAGGAGGAA